GCATTCCTTTAAAAAATGGAATATGATTTGGAATGTGTTTTGTGCCACCAGCTTTCTATGAAGCCGACAAAGAAAAAGGAAATTCATGAAGAATAATGAATACATCAAGAGTTTGTGTAGCGTATGAGAGGTCACTAATGGTTAATGAAATGCACCTGGTAGTCACAAAGCATTCCTAACATAAGGCACATCTGAAACTGTGTGCAAGATTGCAAAGATGGAAAGCAGGTGTAATGAGTTAAGTTGTGTTGAGATCAGCAAATTGTGAATTATCTCATCTCTGAGACTCTCCCTGTCAACAGAGTAAGGCGTTGCTAATAAAGGAGAGACATTTTCAGGCTTCTCTGTCTGCTTTAAACCTGTGAATACCACCATTGAGACATTTCTAAAATACCGTAAGAAAGGAGGCTTTGCATGTAATTTTGCAGCGAATAAGTGTTCATACTTTCCTTTTAAGGCAGGTATTGTTCAGTAATAGAAATATATTTTTTTACTTTACTCATTTTGAGAAGTTTACGCTTGAAATTATTTCTGTTGCAGTGAAATGAGAAACAATTCTGAGTGTTCTGATTTTTTCATTTGATTCTTTTCCGGTATTTTTCATTTCTGCATTTTTTTTGCCTTTTTATTTTTTATTACACATAATGGAATACCCGATCTCAATACAATTTAAGTAGATGAGGCCAGCAAAGAGATTAGCATTGCCTTTAAATCCAGCATTAAAGAAAGACAGAGTACCATCAATTCCTCCAAGGAGGATATATCCCAGTTGGGGCTCTCTCTGAGACTTTATAAGTTAGGCCCAGAGCTGTCTCCAAAATGAATGGCCTTTTGTTTTCTGCAGCATTCTCATCAATTCACCTAAGAATTTTCCTTTAAGCTTCTAAATTCCCAGTAGACTCAAGACTTTCTCAGTACTTTATTTTGGAAATATAAATAAAATGAGTTGTTATCACAAAGTTAGAGTTCGTATTGAACAGAAGGATTTCAAAGTTAAATCTAACCAAGTCACTCAGTTATCTCCTACAGTACCTTACATGTACTGTAGTTTAATGATAATATGGCTTCTGCTGCATTTCTTTATTTTTGTCATTTCTAATCTCTAAGTGTTTGTTTGGAATTGAACTGGAGTTTTCAATTCCACTTTCCTGTGTTTAAGGGGAACAGGTTTAAATATATTCACACACTGCAATAATTAAATAAACTCAGATCCTTTTATACCTGATCTTCATATTAGTGTATAAATTACTGAATTTGTTTTCGTTTGCACAGCTTTCATTGTGTAATGTGTCTATCACCTCTCCCATTTTGATGCTCTGGATATTGTTGAGTAATGTATTGGCTTTACTACTAGAAGAGTTACTGTATTTAGACAACTGTTATCATAATTATTCATTTCCTGTTATAGACAAAACAAGTTCCAAAAAGTGAACTTTACTCAGTCTATTTACCAGACTGATTGAGACCACCTCTTCTGGAAGTTATAGTTTGGTTATGTTCAATCTGTTTGGCAGTCGAAATTTGTGCTCTACAAACAAACCAAATTTCACTGAGCTAGTGTAAACAAAACTCCTAACGTTTACCTTGAAGGAACATTTGAGAAAAAAAGAGCCGTGCTTCAGAAATCTCCATTCTCTTTTTCAATGTTTAATTTCAGTATCTAGTGCCATTACTTAACGAACAGATGAAAATTAATCTGAGAATTAAATGCTACTAGCAGTACTGTAAAGTCATTATTTTAATTAAAAAACATTTATTAGAACAGACCAATGAGGTTATATAGTATACTTTAAGAATAATTAAAAAATGTCCCCTTAATAATCCCTTACACTTATATAGCGCTTTTCTGGACGCTCCACTCAAAGCGCTTTACAGCTAATGGGAACTCCCCTCTACCACCACCAATGTGCAGCATCCACCTGGATGATGCGATATCCAGTATTGAATATTGGCTATGCCGATATTTTTGTCGGCTGGGTAGAAGAACGCTTCTTTGCGTCCTACACTGGCTATGTCCCTGACCTCTACAAACGATATATTGATGACTGC